GCCGCCGCCGCGACCGCCGCCGCCGCCATCGCTTCTGCCCCCGCGACAGGTGAGTGTGCGCCCACCCCTCAGCTCCGCCACCGCCTCACGTGCGCCGGAGTGGACTACCTGTGGGCTACGCTGTGTGGAAACACCGCCCCCCCCCCTCACGCTTCACACTGCTGTTTGTTTCATTCCCCTCCCTCTCTTCCTCCTCCTCTCCCTCCAGTCCCACCATCACATGCCATGTCTTCTTCGCTGGCTCGTGTTTGGCTCTTCAGAGATCCACCCTGGGCTTGAGGCCTTGGTGCAGATGACACATGCACACCTGTGGTTTGAGATCCAGGGTCTTGTTGCATAAAACGTATCGAGTTTTAAATATCTGTAAGAATCAAACATAGCAATAGTACCCTGTCTTTGTATTCAACTGCTTTGTGGAACACCCGTAAGGTCAGGGAACCCTAAAAGGGAAGACTTAAGGAAAACTTAACTTAGGTTTTGAAACATAACATGGCACAGAAGCCCGTTTCATCCAAGTCACCTTAAAACCAGGAGAGATCGCTCGCAGAAGCACATGATAAGACAGACTTGTCCTTGCTTTTAGTTCTCGATCTGCACCCTGAACGGTGCGGTAATACTTCTTTTTCTTCTCAGTGTTAATGGCTTCGCTTGTGTCCGCTGCCAATTTTCAACGTTCTTGTGGATTTTAGAGGAAAAAAAAGTTTTGTCCAGTAACTAAAAGGAGTAGAGTTAAGGCTGCTGAGTTGAGCATTAGGAACACCAATCATGCCTTTAACTGAAAGATCTTTCAAGTAATGAATGTTGAACCTTGTTGCCTAAGCTGATGCTGTTGCATAATTAGCAAAAGCTGTATTCGCTATACAAGAGTCTTGTCAAACACCAATTCAACAAAATTAATCCTTTCTTATTGGCATTTATGATTTGTAGTAATTTAAACTTCCTTTTTGCTTTCACTGTGATCCTCCTCCAATTTGTAACCAAGAATGATAAAAAATTGATCAACATGTATTTATTTCAAAGCGTTCCAGTACTGTGCTGGTTACCCCCTGTTCTTGTTGTAGCAGAGTGCTGGTTTGTGATAGTGTGGAAGAAATATTAATTTTGTGTCAGGGGTGGGTGTCATTGGCTGTAATACCAGGTTGAAGCCATAACTGGAACCCACAAACCCATCACCAAAAAACTACAAAATGTGAAAGAGTTTCAAGGAATACCCAGGTTATTCAACATATAAAACTTGTTGTAGGCTGTGGTTTAAAATAAAGCACAATCTAATGCTAACTGTTGCTGTGCTGTTGTACCTCTTGATCATGTCTTGGCAGAGAAACTAATTCAGGACAGTGGAATAGCTTGTGAAGTCTGAATTTAGACAGTTCTGAGAGACAAGCAGTCCTCAAGTCTGTGTTACTGTGCATATAGAGTCAGTTGAGCTTTTCTGCCTGTATGTTTCTTCCAAGGCCTCATTCACACGGGGATCTGCTCACCATCTTGTTAAAGTCTGTTTACTAGGTCTGCAAAAGGATGGTACAGCAAGGATGTTTCTTTCTAAGAAATCACATTGTCTAATGTTATTTTGAGTGCCTGACCATGAGTGTGTTTTGTTGCTGTCTAACCTGTGCTGCATGTAAGCATGGAATATGTCTGGTTCAATGTCTGTCTGTATCTCCAAGATGAAGGTGGGGGTAAAATTAGGTAAGCAATTTAAAACGGGGGAATAAATGTGATTTAGCCAGCAAAAGTGACATTACAAATCTAAAACGTTAGATTCATTCACAGATTCTTTTCAAGGCCATTTCTTGATAGTCAGTGTCTGACTCAAAAAAGATGGTAGGTTGTCTCTAGAGGCTTCCCAAGTAGAATTTGTTGTTCTGAAGAAGACAATTGGAAGGTTACTGAAAATAAGCCTGCTGTTATTGAGAAACGTTTTCAACATATTTAAGTTAAGTGTTTTTTAGGGTTCTGGTCACACATTTAATCACATGAGTTTATTTACCTTCACTCTCATTTTTTATTTGTTATTGTTGTTTCCTGACAATCTGATAAACTCCCTGAATTTTATAGTACATGCCTTTTATTTTCAAAATATAGCATAGAGTGCATTGATGAATATTTGATTGGCTGATGTCTTTATCCTGACAGACGTGTTTAATAACAGAATAACAGCATTATATCTAGAGGATTCACTTTTAAACAGAACTAGAATATTTAAAAGGTATACATTATGTGTTATATTACAGATGTGACAATAGGACAGAATGTATTGTGATAAATATAGTAGTGTAGCAGTATGATTGCAGGACAGTCCACTTGAACATTGAGCTTGCAGTGGAGTCTTCTGTGATGTGAAGTACAGCACTGTTGGTTTTGAGTGATGACAGGTCAGGTGTTAGCATGGAGGAGAGATTTGAGGTTGTGTACAGGTACAGACTGAAAGGTCAAGTTTTTGGAGACATTAGAAGGGGGCAAGAAATATTGTAATCTTTTAATCTGGTTCAGGGTGTCTACACAGGGCTTATATCTTAAAATATAAAGAAAGACTGATAGATTTTTGGGTCATTCAGGTCTTTCCTTTATCAACTTTCCACTTTGTCTGTTGCAGGTCACGCTTCTCAGTTCTACAGCATGAACAGGCCTGTGTCCCGGCACAACCCACCCACAATTGGGGGCTCTCTGCCCTATCGACGTCCCCCCTCAGTGACTTCCCAGCCAAATGTGCAGAACCAGGTCAATGGAGGCCCCTATTATAATCAGAGTCAAGGTAAGAGACCTGGTCATGCTCCTCATTACACAACTAGGATATACAAGACACACAGTACACAGTCTACTCAGTTAATGTACCGCTACAAAGGAAACACTACTGGACACCCTGGTAATCCAATAACGTTTGCAGTGAATGCAGTTTTAATAAGTACTAAAATGTTAAGGGTGTTGTTAGCCTTAAAAGCCACAAAGTAGACCTTACTAGAATATGCGGCCTGTTCATTTTTCTGAATTTTGGTCACAGAAAACTTGGACTTTGTGGGGCAGTTCTTGACAGGATGTCTTCCAGGAAGAATTCCAGGAGACTAAACTCTGTATATTTTGTACTGCCTGCAGCTGGGATCTGTGTCATACCAGATGTGTCAGGGCAGTGGTCTGTGCCCAGTGACAGCTTGGTCCTGGAGTAGTTGTGATGTCTTTAAACTGCCCAGACTGCTTTTCTATTCAGTCTGTGTTTGGGAGTGGCAAAGGAGACTTCAGGGCTCACAGCTTTTTTTTTTTTGGTATGTGTGTGTGTTGTCTTTTTTGTGGTGGTTTAAAGGTGGTAAGACAGCCATTAAACCCAAAAGGCCAGTCCTTTCTGAATTCAGGGATGCCTCCTGTTTCTGTGTTCCTGGGCGGCTTCACTTACTAACGGGGTTTCACTGCTGTCTCCCGTGTGACATACTGCTTGCAGCACAATGGGCCTTCCTTCACATCAGTGTTTGTCTGCAGACTAAATTAACTGGCTTTTTTTGTTCTGTTTTGTTCCTTTCCTCATGCCTCTGCCTCCTCTCTTCCTCCTCCCTCCTTCCCTCTCTCTCATTCTCTCCCTGTCCCTTTGACTGTCTGGATCAGCCTCCCTCGCTCCCCCACCCCCCTCCATCCTACAGATAACTCCCCAGTTACCACTGATGGGCTTCGTGGCTCGAGTGCAGGAGAACAGTAAGTGGCCCAGCTCTGTTCCTGGTCTCAGGAGCCTACGCGGTAACACCATTGTTTGTCTGACTCTACCCTGGCAACCGGACTGGAAGTACAACTCCCCTCGCGCCGCCATTAGTTCAGTTTCAGGCCAGAGGAGCCGCGGGAAACTTTAGAAACTGCCCCGATAAATCGCCAATTGCGGATGTGTCAGTACTAACTACACTTGCCTGTCAGGAAAAAGGTCCAGTCTTTTTGTGTCTGTATTGGCGAGTTCACAAAATCCGAAACGACTCAAGAGGTTTGCCGTACCAGGCATCTCCAGCCAGCAGGGGGCAGTGTGTTGCCTCAGAGACTCGACTGGTCCACAGAGTACACAGAACTAAAGGATCCTTCTCAACCTTCAACCCTAACGTTCTACAAAATCAGCGTTTTTGCGTTTTGTGGATCTGTTAACCTGCAGTTCTGCTAGGATGTCGGCCTGTGCTCTCACGAGTTGCTTTTTTTTTGTGTGAAAAAGTCAATGGTGTGTATTATTTTTTGGAAAGCATCTGATTTCTGCTGTAGGGTATGGTTGTCATTCTCCACAGCAATGAAGTCAGACAGCTGTACAGTGCTGTTCTAAGAAATAGGCAGAAGCAGACCGCAGGCTGGGTGCATAGCCTCTTCCTACTGAAATATGGTCTTTGCCGTTTGAAAAGCTTTATATGTCGTTTTTATTTTAGAAAAAATAAAATAAGTGGGCTTTTAAAGCAGTTTAGAGTCCAAAAATAGGTTTCCTTTACACCTTGTGATCCAGCAGAACCTGTGATTTTACATCATGAGTTAAGCCCATGTGTTCTACAGTATAACGTAGTTGAAATGACCCTTTGCCCAGAGGAAAGAGCCTCTGTTCCTATTTATTCCTCGTTGGTTTATCTCCCAGAAGACAGCAAACTGATATAAATAAAAATGGACTTTAGGAAAGTCAGAAGACAAAACTAAAGAAAATGTCTTCATCGCAGCAGACACCACTAAATCTAAACATGAAGTTCTCCTGAGAGAATCTCTCTAGCCTCCTATCATCAGCCACAAAATCTGTACTGATCAGGGACTTAATGGATTCCCCCTTCAAGAAAACAGAAGTTCTCTGTGTACTTTACTCCTTACAGCTGGTGGTGAACATGACTTTTTTACATTTGTCATGTAATGTGCTTGCTTCGTTTTCTGTCAAGATTCGTCTGTTACTCAGTTAAATCTTGTCACCTGCCCTAATGTTCACTATACAGATTTTTTATTGTCCTATACAGTTATTGTCCTGTTCTGTGGGCCAGCATTCACTTTGAAAGGTGACTGTGCTGGAGGCAGTGCCACCAGTTTCTGCGTCTTTCCACGTAGGACTAAATTATGTGCTTCTTCCCTGTTACGTGGGAGTAGCGAGGCTAAAATACTCACTCTCTCACCCCATTGGCTTCTTCAGTTCAAACTGAAATGACAAGGCTGGGCTCTCGAGCCGTAGTGGTTTTACATGGAGTCAGCCTTTGATGAAGGAGTTTCAGGTTTTCAAATTAAAGTTTCAAATTTCCCCACTCTGACATGGCCTTTCATTATCTCGGGCGTGGATAGAATTCTAGGATTCTAGAACGTTTCCTCACGGAGATTTCCAGGCTGGCTTCGTTTGTCTCTGTAAAAGAACATGTAGTCGTTTATTTCACCTCAGTTTAGACTTTTACAAGTGTGAATTCAATCTTGGGGGGGTTGGGCACTCCACACTAAATGTCAAAAATGACAGGCTAGTCGTTGCCAGTAGCTTCTCGAAACACGAACAGACATTTCCATATCGCCTTCAAGGAAAATATGTTCCCTGGGTTCGATATTTGGATAATCCCCTGCGCTTTATGCTGCTGCTGCTGCAGAAATATCTGTAGTGTGCATGTGATACATTGTCTTACATGGCAAATCTCCTTTTGTGCATTTTACTTACTCGCATGCTGCATGACTGAGACGTTTCGGGTTGTAGGCAGGGCTTGTGCTCGGCAATCTGGTTCCAGCATCTTCTCCGTCCGCTGCCACCCCTTGTGTTAGGCTCCGCTGGCAGCGACAGCTTTCCCCTGGCCCTTTCGGCTGCAGGGAAGGGGCAGCTCTCTGACAACGCCGCTCCCATTTCAGTTACAGACGCGCCGCCGCCCCCTCCTCCCTCAGACGAGCCAGTGTTTGACGAGTCGCCCCCTCCCCCTCCACCCCTGGAGGACTACGAGGAGGAAGAGTCGGCTGTCGTGGAATACAGTGACCCCTACGCCGAAGAAGATCCACCTTGGGCTCCAAGAACCTACCTGGAGAAGGGTATGCGCAGCCAAAGCTGTCCACCTCAGCGATGCCTCCTCTTTTATGTTCCTACGTCCCCGAAAAGCAGCAGTCGTGCAGAACCCCCCCTGTGAAGGCGTACCCGGAAACCTGGGTGCTCAGTTTGAAACCTTTTCAAATGCTTTTCACGGGCTCTCTGCGACATCCATGACAATGGACGCAAGGCAGCCTGTATTTGTTTGTTTTTTTTATGCTCCTTGCGTCTCGTGGAAACAATCAGACCTTCTTACAGCTCCATTCGTGTTGACGCATGCCGGTACGAGCTAAGATCTGCAGTTTCTCAAGTAAAATTGCTCTTGGGGAGCCCCGTTTTGGAGACGGAGCACACTTTACCCAGAGTGCCTCTGTTACGTCCTAGGTTAGCCTTCTGTCTTTGCAAGGACCAGTGTGGGTTTAATTTGATCCCCAGGGAGGTCACAGTCTTTTACCTTAAGCTGTAACCTCAATAATAACCTTAAGTGGATCCAAGATTTTGTGTTACTGATGCATGCGTGTTACAAGTGGCACAGTTCACACATTGTTCTTGCTTGTAATGTGTAAGTGTATGGTTTTGACACCAAGTTCTTTTTTTATCGTTGTTCCTTCTTGAATTTTTACTGTACTTTAATTTTTCTCTGTACTGAATTTCTCTTATTTTTCTGGGTGGGTTGCTTGGAAAAACTTTCATTTACAGTGGCAACCCAGGAGTCCTGTTCATACAGCAAGGCATTTCCCAGGGCAGTTTGAATCCAATATCTTGCTTAAAGCATTCAGCAGCAAAGTCATTTCCCCCCTTATAAATGATTACTGTTTAATTGTTACAAAGTTGCGCTCAACTGAGACAATTTCAGTTGTGTCTTTTTCTCTGGATTATTTTTTTCTGATCCTTTTGTCCATTTATTGTGTTGACTTGACCCTTATGACATCTGCATGATTTTCCCATGCCCACCCTTCTCTGTCGTTTTGACTTATTAATGGACAGCATCATAAAGCATTGGCAGACAGTCTCTGCGCTTTTGAAGAGCTACATTGATCATTTAATGTTGGGCTGCTGTTGCCCTAGTAGTCAAAATGACTATATTTTCTCGCTTGACCTTAGATCATTGTTCTTCTAGTTGGAAGTATAAAAATATTAACCAAGCAGATTTAGGAAGTGGAAAATGGTTGCCTAGGCTTCACCAGAGGTTAGGCAAAGGACGCTCTTTCCACTCTCAAGCTGCACAGAAAAGAGTGCTGGTAATAGTCCGCTAAGAGTCGGCGCTCTGTCTCCCCCTAGTGGTGGCCATCTACGACTACACGAAGGACAAGGAGGACGAGCTGTCCTTCCAGGAGGGCGCCATCATCTACGTGATCAAGAAAAACGATGACGGCTGGTACGAAGGCGTCATGAACGGCACGACTGGCCTGTTCCCTGGGAACTACGTGGAGTCCATCATGCACTACGCCGAATGATCCCTGTCCCCGGCCTCTGTAGACCATTGCTTTGGACTGGAGGAAGGGGGGTGGGGGGAGGGGAGGGGGGCGGTCCGCGTGAGTGAGTGGGGAAGGGAAGGGGGGCAGCGGTGGGATTTTTTGGGAGTGGTCAAAGACATTGGGCGGATTCTTAGCGTTGCAGGAATCTTGAGGCAACGAGGCATTATACAGATATGAAGGAAGCAATCCGTCATCAAACCACTGTCTTTCCTTTATTATGCAGAGAAATAGAGTGAAGTGACACGTGCTGTTTAAGCACAAATCTCGCAAGCCGACGTGAAGGCCACCGGGGGTATTGATCAGTTTTTATTTTTTGGTCAAATAAAACCTGAAAGGTTAAAAGTTACGTTTGCACACGTAGGGGTTGACCAGTGGTTCTGACTGCGTTAAAAATGGGACAGCTAATAACAGATGCACACCTGTATGTTAAGAAATTGCACGGAAATTCTTGCACCTAATGCAAGAAATTGTATAGGGCTAATAAAGTGATGTTATGTTATGTTATGTTAAAAGGGAATTGGATTTGACTATTCTGATTTTTATTCTAATTCTAGAATCAGCACTCCTCATATTCATCAACCATAATTCAGGGAGGGGAAAGGGATGTCCAGAAGCACACTTTTTCTCTTTTTCTTCCTTCTCAAGCTTTATTGGATTCTGATGATGCCACCATTAAAACGTGGGGTGGTCCAGATCCAGCATACCCAGTAAGAGGTTGCTGCGATCCAGTATGATTGGAAAACTTTGTAACCCATTTTGGGCACTGATTCCCAACTCTGGCCATGAAGGAGCACTGTCTCTTCTAAATTGTGCAGATGAGTTCTTCAACACAGGCCAATTGATATTAGTTTTCTATTGAAGCCATGTTTGTAAGTCTGACATGGGATTTGTAATTGTCAGCAACACTGCTTCACGCTCTGTGTAACACAACTGCCCTCATTTAAGTGTGCTGCCTGAAATGGAACCAGTTGGGCGTCTGCAAAATTGAAATTGTGTGCATCTCTGACAGTGTCACTGCTACTACTGTGGGCATGTGTGATAGTGTCACTCCCACCTGTCTGTTTGGTATCCATTGATCAGCTTGCAAGAGGTGTTTAATAAGAAATAACAGCAAGCAAATTGCAGAACGTCTGTGCTGAAGCTGTTGCATCCTGTGTTCTTGAAGGGTGTTCTTGACACTCAGGAATGATCATATAGAAACAAGATAAACATTGAAACGAGCAAATAGATCACTTAAGTCATCAATTGGCACTCAAGATGGAAAGAGATCCAGCAATCACAGTGTTCCTTCAGGACCAAGGTTGGGGACCACTGGTTTAGAGAATGTTTTAAGTTGTTTTTTTCCTGGTTATTTTCATTTGTAATGTCCACATTGAAAGGCAGAGATTCAGGTGTTAAAGACAAAATAAAATACTTCTGCTTCAAGCCCTTTGCTTTGTGATCAGTCAGTTTGGCCGGTTGGCCAAATTGATCGGCCACATTCCAGCTGTCATTTAAGGATTTTTAATGTGATGTATTGACGGTTTGCAACGGCCACATGAATTTGTTCTCCCGGTTCTTGAGTAAAGTGGTTGGTCTTGTAAGTGACAGCTCTGGACATTCACTGATCTGTTGCAGGGGGTCGAAAAGACGCCAAAAGCTGAACAGGACCTCGTTTCTCAGGCCCCTGTAAGACAAAGCATGTGTGAGATTGTACTCCTTTCCTAAACTTTCAGCAATGTCTCCACCTGCTTAGATGTAAAGTGCTTTGGAGGCTAAAATAAACAGACTCTAGAACAGAAGAAATATTGTACACTGACAAAAGGAGTTATAACTGAGTCTTAAAATGTCAGTGACATTAAGGTCAATCTGTAGCTGACACAGCAGTGTTTTTTTTGCAGTAGCCCAACTGAATTTGTCGCCGCCATTGAAGCAGGGGAAAGTGTTTTAGCTTTCCTACTGATTCCCTGTGATTTTACTCCAGACTCAGTGACACACTGGTCTTTCTAATGCTCTCTGAATACTCTGTTGCAGTAAGAGATCTGTTTCACCAGTCAGGCTCTCCTACTGCTTACTTTACAAATCTAACATTGGTCAACCTCTACAGTCATGCAGTACTAATTGTGTAGATAACCTCATTGAGTTTGATGCTTTTTGTATAATTTTATATTTCTTTTTGAATTGATCAAATCTGTTGTGTAGTGGATCTAACCTAGAAGCCCTATCAATTTGGTAATGTTGTGTATGTAGTGCTCAATTAGACTGCATGCTCTAATAAAGCAAACTTTAAATTATTTACATTTCACCCCATTTTTATGTTGTTTTTCTTTTTAGTTGTTGTCATACAAGAAGCTGTAGTGGCCAGTGGAAAAATGCTCCCAGTATATCAGTGAAGTCTTTCTGTTCAACTGGAGGAAAGGATTCTAGTGCCATATATTTTCTTTTTGACTCGGGTTGGACTCAGCTTAATGCTTTCAAAGGGAGCTCTGGGATTCTCGCTGGTCTTGTACTCTAACTCGAGCAAAGGAACGTATTCCTGCACATTAATGGGTACTAAAAACCAATTAAAAAGGGCCGTGGATCACAGATGGATCCCAAGATGCACAAGTGATATGTACAGGATGAGGATGGTGTAAATCAGTCGTGATTACACCAAATATTAACTTTATTGTTGAAAATAGCATATGTGTCGAATTGGCCTGTCGCAGGATTTTGACATTTCAACTTGTGTGATGTGCTTTATCAGTTCCTCCCCCAGTTTCCAACAACTCAGTAGCATACTAAACGAGAGACCTTAAGGGTGTGCATACTGTGTTCTGTATCTGTATCACATACCATTTACCCATTTTAAAATGCAGGTCTAAAAATAATTCTGTTGGCTGCTTTTGTCTTTCCATTGCTGGATTGAATTAACTCCATTGATTTGTGCTCTTCAATCAGCCATTCCTGTTAATTAATGGTCTCAGTAAATTAACTGATCACCAGTTAATAGAACAAAATAGATGCTTGGATGAAGATTTCCTAGATGACAGAATGGGAATCTGATTACCTCTATTCTCAAGTTTCACTTTTTTGTTGATCCCTTGAATGATCTGATTTGTTAAGGAGCTCTGCAGTGATTAAACACATCACACAAATATATCACGAATCCTGTAGGAAAATTCTAAAATGTTTTTTTTTTTTCTAGCAAGTGCAAGTGTTTGCCTTTTGAATTTGAAGTGGTTTCCAGGTCTTTCTTTGCAATAGTAGTAGGACTGGGAGGAATGTTACGGGAATCTAAAGACTTTTATTTTCTATTTTTCGGTACTGAAAGCACAGAACATTTTGTAGCACGGAATGCTTAAAAAAACGGCTATTTCTGTTTAGCGTAAGAAAATTGACTTTTGAAAAGACACCAATGACATTAATAAGTGGGTAAATCTAAAATTACAATGGGTTGTAAATGACTTTAAAGGTAAGAACTATTTTCGATAGGATCTGAGAAATTGGGAAGTCTGCTTCAGAAGTATGGTATTAAAAATTTGGGCAATGCTGTATCCTGGATGTGGAGGTGCAATATTCATCTATGTATCAAATCTTTTTTTGAGAGTGGGTCTGTACTTGTGACTCTTGCATGTAGTTATCTGTGTTAATGCACCTAATAATTTCTTAGCTGCAGCAGATTATTAAAACATCTTTTATGGATCAAATCTACCTGGGTGAGCATCAGTTTGCCTCATAACACAGTAACCATTGCTGCCACCAACTGTTAATACATGCCTGATTTATTAACGGCATGAGGGGATTATTTATTAAGGCAAAAAATAATAATTTCAGAGAAATTCTGGATCTAGTACTGCAGTTCTCGTTTTTATGCGTTTGTAAAAATTTGGCCACCTAATATATTGCTGAACCGGAGGCTGTCGTTTTGCGAGTTTATTTCTGATGATCCTAATTTAATGAGGTAAATGCTGTGTCTGCCGCTAAGATGCTTAAACAAAAGCTTATGCTTGTGAATAGTGCAAAACAAAATCCGAAAGTGAAATTCCAGAATTCTGTCTGTGGTGAGTAGGTCAGTATGAGAGAGAACATTCTGTTTAGAGATTGCCAGCTTTTGGTCCTAAGCCCATGATGATGTTAAGCCTAAACATTATAAGACGGGGAGGAGATAAATATTTGTTCAATGAAGTCCCTCAGAAGGCCTGTGTTGGAATGTTTTATCTATCAAAGCAGGGTTGTTGGAGTTAATTAATACTGTATATGCCAATTGTCTTTCTATTTGTTTTCCATTTGCTGTCACACGTCTTAAGCTCCCAATGGCCCTTTGCACACCTTGTCTGTGGGGCCAGCAGGGGGCACTCACCCTGCAGTCCATGTGGGTCCTAATGCCTAATAGTGACGGGGACACTCGACTGTAAACAGGCGCTGTCCTTCGGATGAGACATAAAAACCAAGGTTTTGACTCTCTGTGATCATTAAAAATCCCAGGGTGTTTCTCGAAAAGAGTAGGAGTGTAATCCTGGCGTCCTGGCCAAATTTCCCATTTGCCCTTATCAATCATGGCCTCCTAATAATCCCCATCTATGAATTGGCTTCATTACTCTGCTCTCCTCCCCACTGAGAGCTGGTGTGTGGTCAGCGTTCTGGCGCACTATGGCTGCTGTCGCATCATCCAGGTGGGGGCTGCACACTGGTGGTGGTGGAGGGGAGTCCCCGTTACCTGTAAAGTGCTTTGATTAATTATAATTATTGTCCTGATAATCTTGATTACTGTATTAATTGTGATGCTACCTTTTGTGTTTGTGTATTTGTTTTAGTTTCAAGCCAATGACAAATTATAGGCAGTCAAGGGTTTGCATCTTACTTGAAACAAGCCCCTCACTGTAGTGAGAGGTCTTCTTTCAAACACTAAATCCAACCAATGGATCAGCACCCTTTTCCTGTGATCACATTATCCACCTTGCGTTTGGTGCGATTTAAAAAGACGAAACTTCTTTTTTAAGGAAGTTTTTTCAAAGTTTAAGAAGTTCTTTAAAAAAAAAATATGGATTTTTTTTTTAAATGGGAAATTCCCTCTTTTGAGTTTGTTGAGCTCCAAAACAGTTATCTGTGTCTCCCTCATGTCCTCACTTCATTGCTTCAAAACGCGCCTCTGAACAAGGATAACTGGGTCATCAGAAATAAATGCTAAAGAACCTCTTGCTTACATTCTGTCGATGACATTTCCAGAGAAAGCTTGACAGCCCAGAAGAATCTGTCTAAAATGCATCCGATGTTGTCACTCCCAAAAGGTTCTGTAAAACATAAGATGCCTTCTTCCTAAATAAGTGCAGCACAAAAGCTTAATTATGAAACCAGTGATTGTCGGTGAAACAAGAGGCACAACTTGAGCATAATACATGGTCCTTGTTGGACCAATTCTGTCAGGGTTCTCCCTAAACAATAGAGCAGTGGGACACCTTCCAAATCTGCACTGGAATAACAATTTGTTCAATTTCAATCGTTTAATGCCGTGTAAAATCCGCCTGCATGAAATGAAATGGATATCAGCCAGAGCGCATTCAGTCTTACTTTCGTAACTGAAATGACCATGATATTGAAAATGCTACAGTGCCGAAACCATCATCTTAGTGCTGCGATGCTATTGCAGGTCTCTGGGGAGACCCCTGAATTTTGGGCATCTACTGTAATGTTCCCAGTACAGTTGTGACAAAGATGGACTGACGAAACTCGCCTACCATATCATTTTTTGTTATGCAGCAACAAAAGTGGTCTTAACTAACGGAGTTAATGAACAGACATGCCCTTTATTTAAAATATCAGCTAACTGAGAATCAGCTAAAGGCAAGGAACATCAGGTGTATTTGAATTCTGCTGTTTTGGGAAATCTGTTTATTGGTAGTTTAATAACATGTTGGTATAGGATACAAGACATTGTGCAGCATTTGCATATTGTACATGCATTGCCAATCCCTTTAAAATAAATCCTAATTAACTAAAAGCAACAGAGTTTTGTAATCAATTGCTTTCGGCAAAGTGAAATCCTTGATCAAATTGTCTCAAATTGTCCTCGGCTATAAGTGAATGCTTTCATGTTGACTAAGGAAAAGAGACGGGAGAAGGGCAAGATATATGACTGGGTGATCTGCTTATGGCACTTGATTACTACATGGGCCATAATAACTTAAGTACAGTGCATGACACATACTAAACAAATTATTAGGAACGTCCGTCAACACATGGTCTCTGAACAGCAAAAACAGAATAAACAGGTCATACCAACTTCCACAAATCATTTTGAACATTTGCTATCTACTTTTATATTGAAGACCTCAGTGGTTTCTCAGCTTGCAGAAGTGGCTTGTGGCTCCTGTCCCTGCATTGAGTGAAATAACAGGCAGGCATGCTCTTTATACCTGGTCACCCTGGCTGGTTCATTGTGCATGACAGAGAAGAGTTTGCGCCATCTTGGAAGAGCTTCAAGGTATCCATGAAGTCTTAGGAGGCCTGGCCAAGAATTGCCACCCTGCTCCTTGGTGGGATCCAATCAGATTGATCCTCTGCCTTGGGAGTCGTGGCGACAGTCGCCTAGTAACGCCACCCAGGCTTGAACACCTGGTTTCTAGGCCGCAGAGCTCCAACAGGCATTGGAAACATCTGCAACCTGGTACCATCTCATTCTTCTGGCAGGATCACCAAATGCAAAGGTTGTTTGGAAGGTGCTTGAATGTATTGGACCAAGTAAAGCTTAGTTTCATGCTGAAAAGTTAAAAAAACATCTCGGCTGTGAAGTCACACGACATTTGAAGACGTCTCCACAGTCTAAACATTTTTTTTTCTGTGAAGACATCATTGATATTTACTCAACATTTAACAGTTATCTGGATTAGGGGTAACTAGAGAATTGTGATTTTCGTATTGGACTACTGTTGTGGGCTAAAGGACACTGCAGACCTCAAATTACAGTTTTGACTAACCTTGTTGTATACCATGTTGAGCAAGCAAAACCAACCTGATGAACAAAATTACATTTATGTTGCTGTTATGTAAATATGCAGCATGTTATTACCAAGATGTTTATTAGAACTAATCAATAAAAAAACACTCACATCTCTTGATGTTAAAGTGAGGAGGCGTATTATTAGAGTTGATAAAAGTTTAAAGGAATTTCTGCAAAATATCTGTTTTCTCCTGCTCTCTGAATCTAGCCTGTTCAAGGTTTGGTTTCAATATTATATTGCAGAGAAGCTGTAAAAAGACATTTTGAAGGAGCCATAGCTCATATCTCCATTATAATTTTTGCAAATCAGAGCGTACATTGTGTTTGCTCAAATCTAAATGTAATCTTAAGATCTTAATTTTGAAAGATGAGGTTATGTTTATTTAATGAACTGGAGAGAGCACAGATTTTCTAGTTGTAGCTTGAGGGAGAGAGCCCTCATTACAGAGTCCTGATACATGGCCCACTTTCTCTCCTGACCACGATTCCGTGCTTGGTTGGACAGCCTGCATGGTTGACGTTTAATTACAGTATGTCTCCCTTGGTTACAAACATTGCAAAGCCTAATTAAAGTTTCAGGTCTAACAAGGTGATTGACTTGCATTGCATCTCTGGAAATTTTTTACTGGGTATAACGTATAACAAAGAGCAGTTGGAAAGAAACAAGAATAACCACGTTGGATATTGTTCATGCATAAACTGTGGTGCATTGGTTTCCTGGTCTAACCTGCTGTTGTGCATGGAAAGTGTTTGATTAAAGATTGAATTCCTCACCAAGGAGTTACGACAGATCTGCACATTCACAAAAAAGGAGAGAGTGCACAGTCCAGTTTGTATGAGTAAATGATATTTTTAAAGAAAAAAGAATAATTATCTCAGTAGGGCAGATCTGACATTATTAGATATTCTGAATTTTGGTACTGGTGATGAAGATAGGAAGAACAACATCATGATGTAATTTTACCGATTCTAAATTCCCAATTTCCGGTGGAAATGGAAAGCCCAACAAAGATAATTACCAAGCTTCAAAAAAGTACCTTGTCACTTTAATTATGAATGTGACCTTTTAGAAAAAATAGTTAACAGATTTTGGATATTGCCTTTAGCTGTAAGCTTTATTGCTTATTTTTGATTAACTGATTTTTAATTAGCTGACCATTGTACAGCTGAATGACACGGATTGATGCTTAAGCACTAAATCAGCTCATTAGTGCACGGTGGAGAGCAGGCGATGAGGTGATTTAACCTGTTGAATGTCACACCTGAAAATCACAAAAGAAAAAAAAACTATGTCCCACTTATCAAGGGATAAGTGCTTGCATTTGGACTCTCCAGCAGTGCAGAATGAGAAAACTAAATACTTAACAGTATCAAACGTGTCCTTTTTAGTGATGCATCAATGTTTTGTGCAGAGCCGTGCGTGACCAATATGCTGAACGCTTTCACTAATAGTTGTGTGCAACAGATCAATCAATGCAGAGGTCTAAGTGTGAAGATCTAGGCAGGGGTGTCTAATCACAGAGAGGTGATGGATGGCATCCTGATTGCACGGCGCCAAATTAATCAAGTTCTTGGACCTCCTTTTCTGTCCCGCCTGCAGGTTCATCCTGATGAGACGACATTTCAGCAGGAGGAAGCGCATCTGCATGCTGCTCTTGTAACTGCTACATGAAACGAGAAAGCGAGCTGGCCTGTGGACAAGCTCTCCAGGCTTGACCCCAATGAGCATGTTGTGTGATAAGCTTGTGAGATGTGTGGCTCAGATGATGACAGGCTCAGATACCAGGGAACAGACACGTGCTTTAACCAGGCAGCACAAGAACCTCACAAGATAGCACCTGTGGCCTTCTGTAAAGCATGAGTCATAGACGTACAGCTGTCTTTACTTCCAGTGGTGACACACACACACAATTGGTTTGTGATATTGTACCCTTTGTTGGGGACAAATGTCAAGCAACATATCCTTACGTACTGTATGTCATATTTGCTCAATGAAATGCCAGTAATTATAATGGATAACCTTATATAAAATAAAATAATAAACGTTTTCTATTAACTATAACTTTGAAGCAGTAATGAACATTTGATGCATATGAATATGAGTGTTTTCATAGTGCATGGTTTTTAGGACCTTACTGTTCTGTTTCTACAGTGGTTTGAAGGCTTTGTTTAAAATGTAGAACCTTTTCTCGACCTAGTATTCTTAACTGAAAATACAAACCGATCCATACAAAATCCATTCTCGTTAATATAATAATTTCAGAAGGCATTGTGAGTGGGGGACTGTGTGGGAGTTGCAGGCTTTACAAAATATGTATCCATACTAGATTTACAGATGCAAAGTGGATTTCTGTTCTGATGATTAGACATCTTTCATTAAATCTATATGTTTTTCTTTTTGCTTAGTGTTTGTGTATACAGTACATGCAGATTATACACAGCAGTTAACAGAAACCCTAATTTAGTGCCTCACACCTGTTTATTTTTTTAGCTTCGCAAACCACTGTCTCAGTGTGTAGGGTTAGTATTCCATTTTTAGTACCAGTATGCTGGTGAACTGTCCAGTGGTGTCTGGGACTGCATCCATTCTAGGTACAGAGTCTGACTGAGGGTTGTTCCAGGAAATGGGGTTACTGGGATCTATGTACTCAGAGGGTTCATATCAGGTGAGTGGCCTGGTCATGGCTAAGCTGTGACCCTCTTTGCTGTGGTGTACAATTCTTGTTGCTGGAACTAGAATTTTAATTCCACATAAGCTTTTTCCCGTAGGAAGTTATTCATTTAAATTATCTGACCTTTACAAGAGTCAAAGTTCAAAATTACTGAATATAACGTAGAGTGGCATAAGCAAAAAAGATGTTCCAAATACACCCTCTCCCATCTACCTTAACATGTTTTAAACAGATATAATTGACAAGAAAGGGGAGCTGCCAGGGCCATTTTAATTATCAGAGTCATACAGTCACAAGAATGCCTCTGAACTGTTACGTCTGGATCAGATCATTGTTAATTGCACTCCTTTGCGTTTGTACACCGTTAAAAGTGTGAATGGAATCGGCATTTATGCTGTATAATGAGTTTTACTCTGTTGGCACATGCTGGATCGATTACTGCATGTTACAAAACCGCGCAGAAATTAACCTTTGAAAATACACTGCCAGCTTCTCTAATGCAGTCTCTCAGCAGGGAGCTGCCTGGATTGAAAACTAAGAAAAAGGCAACTAACCCATTTTAACAAGTGCTTTATGTCTTTGATAATGTGTTTAAATTAGAGATTATCGTAATATAAGGCACCCCTGAATACAATGCAAAGACATATACCACACAGAAGGACAGGCTCTGAACAGACTGTCTGAATTTCTGTTTTTGTTCAGTCTTTGTTCAGTTGTCCAAAAAACAAGTGGGCAGGAAATTATTCTAACTCCTGTCGCTTTCATGAGGCAAAGATGGATGGCGATAGAATTGCTTTTCCCATCAAAACACCTGTGATGAAAACATAGGCATTTTTATATTAATATATTTTTGTAATATTTAGGTTCCACTTGTGCAGGTTTTCTCTGTAAAACTAGCATTTGTGGAATGGATTAAAGCAAATTAATTGTACCGTACCGTAATAAATTATTTTTATTTTAAACATTAATTCCATCAAACTGGTTGCTGAAATCCTGATCTAACAGATTTTCTCTCCCCGTTCCTTGACTGTTTCAGTATGTAAGAGAAGAAATTGTTACGGAAAATGTTGAAAACAGAGAGGTCACAGTGAGGTTTCCAAAGCTTAAAGAACTGTTTGCTTCCTGATCGATAATGTTTGTGTAGAGATGGCAAGTTGGAGACAGAACAGTAACAGGAGGTCATGGGTAACAGCACTGGTGACATTCCCGATAGAAAACCATCTGGGAGCCAGAGGGAAAATATTTAAGGAAGACAAAGCCCTGTTTCGAGTTTCCATTATCCCTCAAGCATGAAAGCAACTTGCCTTTTCCTGGTTGGGCTCCACTTTCTTCGCGGCTCTGGTGAGTTCAATAACATACACTCTAACATCTGCTTATATCAGTACATACTGTACAATTTAAATGTTCAGGGGACCCCAGACTAAAATCTGCAGCTACAGTAATGTCTAGAAGTTTCTGTTGAATGCTTCATTTCTTCAATAATGATGCTATCTGGCGAAATATTTATTCAGAACTCGAGATTATTTTATTGATACTGTAACTTGAATCAAGCAATTAGCTTTTAAATCATTCATGGAAATAAAACGTGTCAAATATAGAGAGTTTTCGCAAATACATCAGTTAATTGATAATTTATCCTGCAGAGTTTGAGATCTGTGTCACAAATACGGTAACTTGTGTCAGGAGTTCAGAAGACCTGGTTATGAAATTCATGAAAAAAGACCAGACAACTATTAAATTCCTTAAGTTTTCCAGCTTGTATTTTCCTGGTATTTGCTACACTGGCCCTATGTCATCTTATGACATGGTCATAGTTACTTGTTGATTTATTCTCAGTTCTTGTGCCTTTTTTTTAGCCTTTTGGATGTAGATTTTCTTTACTTTTTCACCTTTCAAGCACCAGCTCTGCCCACCTTCACTCTTGCTTAGCTACAGAAGCCTTAGAAATTCTGAGGAGAAATACGTTTCAGAAGGCAGCTTTTACGCCAACTTACAAATGTGCACAAATAAGGGTTTTGCCGGGAAAGATAAAGAAAATGTGCTGATTGAAAAAGGGGGACAGGTCGACAAAGAGTCTATAAAAAAGACTGTAGCCATGATGCCAGAAAGTTTTAATACTGACAGAGCAATTATCAGACACTGATAAGTCCTGATAAACCTTTAAAAAGGGAGAACAGACATTTTCTATGCGTCACAGAGGGACAAATGTAAAAATCCTTTAGGATTTGCAGTGCATGCCAATGGGAATAGAGCACTGGAGATTGATATGGTTGATGGAGCTGAAAGTGGAACAAATAAAGCAGAAACATTGAGATGCTGCTGAGCTGCCCCAGCTATTTATAGCGCCAGTGCAGCACATTGATTCAGAACACTTTCATACAGTATGCGAACGTCTGTAGCAGAAAGAACCCTCTTTTTCATTTTCCTTGTTTTAATGCAGTATCTGAGTGAAAGCAGTCGGAAGGAAGGTTTTCTGTGTCATTCAACAAATCCTCCCCCTGTCTGGGTATGAGCATGTATGCGATGCAACCTCAAGCTGCACCCTCAAGTCCTCCTGATGCCAAAAGGGGAAACCTGTGATTTCATAGCAGCACCGTTGCGTTTTGTTTCCCACGTCCTGTTACCTGCCTTGTGACTCTTCCAGGTCTCCCTGTCTTTCCTCTGGACCAGCCGCTCGCTGAACATGCCCTTAATGCCTCCATTGCTCATGTGAACGCGCAGTCTAGGGGCCCCAACCTGTACGGAATAACGAGGAGCTTCATAAGGAACGTAAGTGTCGCCCATTCTCATTTTAGCGTCACCTCGCCTCTCCGGCTGGGTCACAACAGCTTGCCGCCTCACTGCCAGACCTGCCAGCTCACCTCACAATGTTGCCCTTGGTCAACACTTTGCCCTGCTGTTGGTTCTCTTCTGGCACGCCGGGTCCTGCTCTTGAGAAGACAAACATGAGGCGTCGGTCTGTTCTGCGACGAGCGACCTTTGTTCTTTACATTACATTCCAGCTGTAAGGCCGTGGAGCTCTGAACCAGCTCCTCAAATGAAATGAATTGCAGAACAGCAGCATAGTAGGAACATAAGAAAGGTTGCTAACAAGGCTAGTTGGTCCATCTTATAATAATACTTTATTTTATATAGCGCCTTTAAAGGTGGCTTCTCAAAGCGCTTTACAGGATGACAACAACAATAAATAAAAAGAATAGACAAGATAAAACATAATTACAATATATAGAGGAGACCGTGGATGGTGGTACTAAGTATAGTAGGAGCAGAGGGGTAAAGAATGGAACCAGTTAAGTAAAGGCTCTTCTAAAGAAGGTTTTGAGTCTGGATTTAAAGGAGTTTAGAGAAGGTGACTCTCTGATATCCTTGGGGAGAGACTTCCAGAGCTTTTGGGCATAACAGGAGAAGGCCCTGTCACCCATACAATGAAGACGGGCTTGGGGGACAGTTAGGAGACCAGAATTAGAAAAGCGGAGGTTGCGAGGTGGGGAGTAGGGCGATAATAGTTCAGACAAGTACTGAGGTGCCAAGCCATGCAGAGCCTTGTTCTTGTTCGTTTATTACTTAAGTTAATCTAAAACGTCATCCAGATGCTGCTTGAAGGAACTCTAAATTCTGGCCTCAAACATGTAGCATTTGCACTTTGTTACATTGTGTATCAAATTTCTGTACTTGTGTGTATACAAAGTATCTTCCCTAATATTCTCAGCACTTATCAAACACTCAATGATAGTTTCTTTTTTTTCCCTTTTGAGTACTCAAGAGTTTTGAGGACTGACTTGAGTGAAACATTTCATTAAATGTCAAGTGAGTAATGTTCCTTGAGAGACCCAGTGTTCATTTCTGGTATTCTGAAATGTCACTCTTCACCGGTTGCAAAGAAATTGACGGGAGACAACAGTACTGCACTACCGTGAGCAGCTCCACTTCCTGTTTTTATATTATTAAAGTTTTAAATTGCACTTTAAAAACAGGAGGTAAAAGGTATCCAAGCAAAACAATGTCTGAACAATTATTTGGGACATATGAACCGTAAGGCAAAGAGACCAACATGAATTGACAACCTCTTCTGTTTTTCCCAAATTGAAGTGTTCAGTCTGGCCCCACAAACTTCCCACAATCCACCATATTCAATCCCAGATCCCACTGTTTCGCTGTCATCAGGATCAACTGCCTATCTTCACCATGTTACAGGGCATGCTTCACCTTTGGCTACTGCCATCCATATTTTACTTAACTTTATTTAGGACTAAACCGAAAAAATAACTGACTTAAGTATAATATTTTCCATACCATTCTTTCTGGGTAGTGTTATGCCCAAAGCGCTCAGTTGCCACTATCTGAATCACTTCTTCTGACCTCTTACCAAGCTATAACATCCTTTTAGCAATATGATGGAAACAAATGAACACAATATTCTAAATAAGGTTTTACTAAAGTGTTTTACAGCTTGAGCAATATTTGCCTCGATTTAAATGTACTTTTTGCTCTATGTACCCAAGCATGCTGTTTTTGTTTTTGTTTTTGTTTTTTGTTTTTACTGGTTCCCCTCTTAGTCTTGTACAGAGAATCTACACAAACAACCAGGTCCCTTTCATGTGTAGCTTCTCTGGGCTCAGAATCACCCTTGTGATAGTCATGTGAATTTCTACTTCCCGTCTAGATAACTTCTGTGCATCCATTTTCTCTCCAGTTCAAGGTCACAGGGGAGCCGGAGCCTATCATGACAAGCAGGGGGCACAGGGCAGGAAACACCCTGGACGGGACACCAGTCCATCACAGGGGGCCTCTTTGGACTTGTTAATATTAGATTTAATGTCTGCCCAGTCCACGATCTTGCCCTCCATTTCTGTTTTAAACACCTGTCCCACCAATTTGACAATAATCAGCAAATTGATCAAATTAGAATTGTTGGAACAGATCAGGAGAGCCACAGGCCTGAAATGAATCCCTGTGCTACACCACATTTATACCCTCCGGTGTGATGCAAAAAAAATTGCTTATTTGTTCACTTCCTAATCCATATGGTCAAAGAATGAAACCACCCACATCACAAAAACACAGCCTGTTTGCCTCCAAAACAGCAGGTGAACATTTACGTTTAGAAAATGTAAGTTTCAGAACTGAAATTCTCTGCCAGTCTTCAAAAGGTGACACAGTGCAGGAGATTTGATTAGCTCCCTAACAGCTAATTAATTTGTGTCTGGAGGTCAGGGTGGAATAGCACAAAGAAAAATACGTTTCTGTCCGCAGAAATGAATATAATAACGAGCCCACTGCTTCCTTTCCTTTGAGGTAATGGACATGTTACGACTTTTACCTAGACAGCATATCAGTTTTGAAAATTGCGATGTGTCAGACTTCATAAAAGTACCGATGTCTTTGCTCTTTAAATCCTGAATATCTCTTTAACATGTACAGTATTTATTAACTATATAGCCTACGCGCCCTCTTGTGGTGATACCTGAGTAACTTCTATGCGGGTCTGACACCAGGCTGATGCCGTTTTCTTGCTTTCAGTATTAACTTCTTTACAGATCAAAGGTGTTCCAGAATATTTCTTTTTTTAGCCTGTTCTCCAAAACCTTTTTGCCTTGTAGATGTTGAAAACAAATATGTAGAATAATACAAATGGAGTAGATTTGACTTGATTAAGAACAGTTACAGTGCTAGCGAGACGAGGCCATCTAGCCCAACAATGTGTAAGTGGTTAATTGCTCCTAAAGATCTAATTCAGCTGTTTCTTGAGAGAAAGCGAGGGGATTGGTCTCAGCCACATGGCTTGGCGGATTTGTTACATACTGCCGCAGATATTCACTTCTCCGTCTCGGCGTAATTCTTCTCCGACGACAAACTGCTAGTTATGTGCCCGCAGACGCCCTGCTCCGATGTGAGTTAATAATGAACGTATTACAACAAGAAATATTTATTCTGCGATGCAATGGTGTCACGCCCGGAGTGTAACCTGCCCAGGATAAGCTCCAGTTCACCCGAGACATTGTTTTAGAAGAAGCGATTAAAAAGGGGTGGATATTTAAATATAAAGGCCGTTTTAATCGGGCAAACAAAATAATGTTGGTTGTTTAAGGAAAATGTTGTGCAGAATAAAAAAAAAATGTACGTGCTAAATTAGTATCACGTACATACAGATACATAGCAGTAATTTCGACAGAGCATAAATGTAACAAGCAGATTAAATTAAGTTGTTTTACGCTGAACTTGAACTCTAAAGTTCCATTCCAGTGGCAATTTACAGGATGACGCAGTGATAATACTGGCTCAGGGTTTAGGTGAAGGCGTCTGTCATAATAATGCTTATTTTACCATGGACTTGAAACAGCAGGAGCAAAGTTTAATTGAAGAAGTATTGTACTGCTTGCTTAAAAGGAAGGGGATATTAGAACATATCAAAGTGATATACGTTTTGAAGAAAGTGTCTAGAGGTTTCTAGTCTTCTTGCAGAGCGGTTGTGAAATATATGCACCGGTGGAGTTTTTAAAAAAAAATTCAAGGCTGGCATATGCAGAGCACATGGATCCAAAAGAAAAAGGTGATTGCAAACATCTCTATTTTATGACATAGGCCACGAGGCTGTAGGAAAAAGAATATTACCTTACAAATCAGATTGTCCTTTTTGAGATGACATTCCATCGTGTCTTAAGGCTACTTCAGTGATGACACAATGTGATCGAAAAATGTTTTACCACATGCATTCTGATCATGAATAGACATGATTCCCGTCATTTTTTCCCTAAGATGTGTCTGGAGAAACATCGTTCTCTGGTGCATCTAAAATATTAAATTTAATTTTAAATGCAGAATCTGAATTAGATGTACTGTACATGTAGGTGCGTGATTAACATTTATAACATTTTAACTGGGAACGTTTTGTATGTGGTCTGCAATTTCTTTTAGCAAAACCTTCCTTCTGTTCACTTAATCCAGTGTGCCATATTTAGTTCTGATCAATCAAGCAGGTTTTGAAATGTTTCTTTGCGAGCAATTTGGCCATTTTCAACCTTTATAATAATGCCCAATCAAGGTGGTTGTTCACCTTTCCAAGGGCATATTTCAGGAAATGGATGCCTGCTCAAGACTAGATTAATCAGTAAGCAATGAAAACTACCAAGACCGATTCTGTCTGCTCTGAGACCGTGAATCTTGTTGTGGCTTGAAAGCAGAAAATTTGGGAGTTTATCAGTGACCATGATAGTGATGGAATTTGTAAATAGTGTATATAAAACCAGAATCCATGTTTTTCAAAAACAAAAAGGAAAAATGTTTAATCCAGTATATTTTGTCTTTCCTTTAAGCCCTGATCCAAGAGTATTTAGAGCCATTGAGTATGTGCAGCTAGAGAAAAGTGCAACAAACTTTGTATTTTTGTAACTTTGTAACACTGTTGTTGCACTTTTAATGGCTTTCAGTGTATGTTTAGTATTCTAGTTATTAAAGAACATCACATAGGGTTACAGATCTCAGTAACCAATGGTCTGGCCAGCCAAATATGGCTGCTCAGACTGACCAGTTCTTCAACCTAAAAGGTTCTCCACACTGCCTTTTAGTGCTGCTGTCCAGTTGCTGCACATTGCAGTCATTAAGCTAACTTTCGGGGGTCTTTTGGAATACTTTTGGATAATATAAGACTTGCATTGTAGATGGCATTACTACACCTCTTACTGCCGATATTAATTTTTTCTCCCGGCTGATCTAATCTCTTCCCCTCATTCCTTGTCTTTCAGGTTATCCCAACAGGGCAGGATTCTTACAACATGATTCTCAACTTTGGCATCCAAGAGACCATTTGTCCACAAAACTCTGGGAAAGATCCAGATGAATGCGATTTTAAAACTGGTCATTTTGTGGTAAGCGCACAACCCAATTTGAATGGCAATTTGAAGGAGCTTGAACTTTTTTGCAAGAAAGAGTGGGATAAAAAAGTCAGGGGTGCAAAGTTGATGAGACTTATTCACAAAGAGTTACTGCTGTAATAAATGCAAAAGGTGCTTCCACAGAGTATTAGTTGGGGGGTGCACACTTATACAACCAGGGTGTTTTAGGTTTTTTCATTTAAATTATTTTTCCTATTTTTTTTTCTCTTGAATTTTGTTGGTTGCTTAATTATTAATAATTGCTTATATAGCGCTTTTCTGGACACTCCACTCAAAGTGCTTTACAGGTAATGGGGACTCCTCTCCACCACCACCAGTGTGCAGCCCCACCTGGATGATGCGACAGCAGCCATAGTGCGCCACACATCAGCTATCAGTGGGGAGGAGAGCAATTCATAAATGGGGATTATTAGGAGATCACGATTGGTCAGGGCCAATGGGAAATTTGGCCAGGACGCTGGGGTTACAACCCTACTCTTTTTGGAGAAACGCTCTGGGATCTTTAATGACCTCAAAGTCACGATCTCTGTTTTACATCTCATCTGAAGGACAGTGCTTTTTACAGTATGGTGTCCCCATCACTATACTGGGGCTTTAGGACCCACAGGGTGAGCACCCCCTGCTGGCCCCACTTACACCTCTTCCACCAGCAACCTTAGTTTTTCCCAGGAGGTCTCCCATCCAGGTACTGACCAGGCTCACATCTGCTTAGCTTCAGTGGGTTCCCAGTTGTGAGTTGCAGAGTGATATGGCTGCTGGCTTATTAAAGATAGAAAAATGTCTGACATGATTTATCTTGATTTCTGGCTTTACATCACAAAAACCTGCAATTTCAATAAGGGTGTGTACACTTTTCATATCCACTGTATACAGTAAAGATATAGTGTAGGCTGCTAAACTGTCTGTCTTTGTGCCTTATTGTTTATAACAGTATGTCTGGGTGACTTACCTTGCAAGACATGACTGGGTAGCTCAAAGAAGAGTAGGTTTGATCTTATCCTGAGAATATACAAATCTCTACTGACAGTTGAAGTACACATAGCAACTAAAAGGGTGGATGGTGATAAAATTGGCCCCACTATGCAAATTCAGTCAGGCTATCCTTCTTTGATTTGAATTCCACTTCACAACACATCACTTAATATGAGAGCTGTCGATAAGGGAAAACCACAAGTTGCCGAATCTGTATAGGAAAAAAGAATGTCTTTGAGTACAAAACATCCCAAATGCAAGATCTCTTTGCATTTTGATTGATGGTTGAAATAGAGAACATTATTGTATGTATTTTCAGCATATCTCCAGAATTTACCTTATTCATATGTGTGAAATGATAGTGGAGAGTATTTTAATTACTCTGCTGTGTGATTATTTTTTCCCAGAGGACTGTCTGGCTTTCAGGAATTCCAAGTCACTGCACTTACAATCAAGTACACTAAAGACACAATATAAGCTGATCATATCGCTTACAGTCTTTTTTCAGTCCTTGTCAGTTGGCTTGATTGCTGTTTCAAAAGGAGAATGTGCTCAATAAACATGCACACAAACATCCAGATGGTCATTATCTCTTAAATATACAGAACCAATCTAAATAATGGTTACAAGTAAATGTACAGGGTTCTTTTTGCAAATAACTATTGAATAAAACCATAGTTCTATTCTCTTTACAAATAGGTTGTATTTAGGGTCTATTTCAATCTTTTAGAGACGATTCTTGCGCTTTGAAAGCTGCTAGGTTGCAGAACTAATGTTTAATTTCTTTCTGCTCTCCTCTTCAAAAACCCAATTCAAGACGCAACGTTGGAACTTCATGAGAGCAGCTAACCTTTATTCCATATGCACAAAAGGGATAATATTAGAAGTAGACAAGCAGGTGCCAAGTGTTGTGTTATCGTGAGAGCTGCACTAACTGGGATTCATTCATACACAGGTGTCATCCTCCTGTTCAAGTCGGGTACAGTTTGCTGGGGATCGCATCCAAGGTCTGTCTGTGCAGTGTGACAGCTCTACCAGTTCCAGTTCCGAATCGGACAGCAGTGAAGAGGTGAGCGTCTGCACAGGCATGTTGTTACTCTGCTTGAGGCAGTTTCTCTTCATGTGACCTCACAACCTTATATACATCCCAATAGCTCTTATTGGCAATTAAGCTAATGGGCAAGCTGAGACTAATGGGCCTTTTCGTGTGACAAAAGTTAAGCATCTTGAAATGTTTCCAGCACACTCTGTGGGGGAAAAAATAACAGCAGGGGTTTATCTTGTACTCTGGTCTCCAAGATATGAGAAAGAAATTGCTGCTCTGAGAAGAGCGATCACATACCCTCCTGTGCTCAAAGTCCAGTGTCCTATACTGACAGGCTAAAAGAACTGAATACTTTCAGTCTTGAATAGAGAAGACTACATGGGGATCATGTTATCAAATGCATTGACAAAGTCCACCCAATGGACTAGAATCAACAGTGAGACACAAACTAGAGGACGCAAGTGGAAGCTATGGGGGAATGATAAAATGGAGACTGTTTTTACACAAAGAGTTGTAGGAGAATGGAACAAGCAACCAGCTGCCCAGTCATGTTAATATCCTGGGTTCCTTCAAAAAAATGACTTGAATGATATCCTTGCCTCAGTTAACTACTGGAAAAATAAATGAGGATGGGCCATGGTTACAGTGGTTAGCACTTCTGCCTTACAGCGCTGGGGCGCTTGGCTCAATTTCAGACTTGGGGTGCTGTCTGTGTGGAGTTTGTATGTTCTCCCCGTGTTCATATGGGTTTCCTCCCACAGTCCAAAGACATACTGGAAGGTTAATTGGCTTCTGGGAACACTGGCCCCGGTGTGAATGTGCTTGCCTCGAAATGGACTAGGGTCCTGTCTGGGGTGTATCCTGCTTTGCGCCCATTGCTTTCTGGCACAGGTTCTGGTTAGAAAATGGATGGAAAAATAAACAAGTTATTGTTCATTTTTTGCTGCACAGTTATTCCAAATGACCTCTTCTGATCTGATTTTTAACTTGTCTTATGGTCTTAAGCAAGGGGTGACAAGTGCTTAACTAAGAGGAAACTGTTACCTCCTTTCTCATGTTTAAGGGAATGACGGTTCATCTTTGTCCAACCTTGGTGCACTCTCAATACACACACAAACTTCATGCAGTGACTTTTAGGAAGGAGTTTTGTTTATGAAAACTGTTTTTTTTTTGCCTGAAGAGCTCATGTAGTGAGACTGGATCAGTCTGCTATAGAGGCTTGTACTGTAGCTCTGAAGCCAATGACCCACATGAGCCAGATGATGTATCCCAAAAGAGACTTCTTTGTTTCTGGATTGATGTAACATTAATGCATCTGTCCTCCATTACTAAGCTTTAGACAGTCAGACAGTGGCCTCTAGTGATCATCTGCTTGTAAGAGCAACCTGTCAGAAAGTTCAATCTTCTGCCACTGTCATTCTGCCTCAATCACACCTTGGTGCAGTACAGTAAAGTTGTACTACAAGTTAGTGCACAGCAGTGGGTCTCCATGGGTAACCTGGGTTTTTCTAGAGATTTCATTTCTAACACTGGCTCATGTGTCCTAAGTCATATATACACACACACACACCTCTGCAGCTCATTGCAGCCAGAAAATGCAAGTTCCTAACATCATTCCAACGCATCAAGATTAAAAGTTGAATACAAGGGTAAAAAAAAAAAAAGCTGTGTAACTATCCAGACCTCCTGCATTCAGGGATGGAAAAAAATAGTTTCTGGAAATAAGAACAATTTCAGAAGCACTGAAAGTACTGCAGCAGGATAGGCTGAGCATTCTTTGCATTTCTTTTGCTGCTGGGCATGTAAATTGTTTCTGGTATTAATTGTTTTGAAAACAAAAAAACGTTCTCCAGCTTTTACCAAGTTTCCACTGGCGTCCTGTCCACTTGCTGAAGCGTTCTCTTGAAGAAAACAGTCGCAGCAAACCACCTTCAGTCATTCACTTGAAACTGCCGAAAAGGCTGCTCTTGGCAGAAAAGACGCCCTGGAAATGAAACTGGGGGCAGGCATGTATAACTGATGAACATTTTTCATTTACAGATGGTGTATGTGTTTATGCAGCCCAATGGAAGAAATCCAGCTGGAGGTAGTAAAACCAACTTTATTGGCAGATGGGGGAAAAAATTGCGAGCCCATGAACAAACGTTTTCAGAGTTCTGATGATACAAATATTTGTATAACACTATAAAAATTAGGAATGTATAGTATCTTAAGTCACTTAAGATTTTGCAATCTTTGTACTTTTGCCTCTAGTGTTCATAAGCCAAGTCTCTGTATAGTCAGTACATGAGTTTGTAAAGCACATTTAAAAGCAGTATTCTTAAGAAAACATTTGAAATTGTAACTTTATGGTTGTATTTTCTGCTTCGTTTGCAAATTTACATTTGGAACACAGAATACTTGCAGTAAGCAAAGTGTTCTGCAGTGCAAGCTGCGTTTTTATTTTCCTTAATTCTTCTCATCTTCATGGTGGTACTACACTTCAATAATGCAGTTACTGTAAGTCTTACCCCCTGGGGCAAGTCTTCTGGATAACAATGAACTCAGTCATTGCAGTAGTCCCTTCAGGCAGTTCTGTTTCACAGATTAAAGTCTGGGAAACATTTTTATGATGTAAAACTTACACTGTCTCTGAAAAATAAAATGAAAAAAGAAGACAAAATACACAACACACACGGGAAAAATATCCCCCCGCAAAAAAAACTCCCACACATATTTTATATAGAAAAATAGAAAAACATCACATCACAGCCCACACATAACACAAAAAAGCTCCACATGCGCGGCACACACAAAAAAATATTAAAAAAAAAAATAAAAATGTAAAACTGAGAAAAATATACTTTTTATTTGTTGTAAATGAGCTGTACAAGCCTATATATGTGCAAATGAAACAGCAAATGTGTCTCCTAGACTAAAACTTGGATTATTTTCACTTTAGGTCCCGATCCAATTGTATCTCCAAACCCCACCCAAGACGACACGGTGACAACACATGTACAGAGTGGACAGAGGAACGAGTCCAGTATTTACCTCACTAACCTCCTAGAGTAATGAACATGGGGACATCCTGTAAGTTGAATATTTTTTAAGTCCGAATAAAGAGTGTTAAAATTCCCCTTGGTGAATTTTCAACGACTGGAAAAGCAATGACCCAATGGCACTTTTTCTAACCATGTTCACAATTCACTTCTGATAAAGGTTTATTTGGGCCAATGAAAGACCTGGTTTTGGTCATTAAGAAAGAAACTGGTATGATTATTTCACTCTATATATACACACTTGTGCATTTTGCACATATTTTATTGTTTTACAGTGACTATTAGCATATTTTGCACACACCTTTTATTTTTGTATTACTGAAGTTATTTTAATTTTAGTCTATTCTGAGGTCTGTCTTGCTTGGCTTGGGCTGGGCTGCTGAAACACCTCAATTTCCCTTCGGGATCACTAAAGTTTTATCTGTCAGGTGCAGAGATGCTGACCCACCAGAAATAGCTGTAAACCACCTTGCCTTACACCAGCATTCTATGTGTATGTTGCTGTGTAATAAGGGAAACCCCTCCATGATTTTAATGAAGATTCATCCATTTTCTAACCAGTTCTTTCAGTTCAGGATTGCAGGGGAGCCAGAGGAAATCAGTCCTTGGGAAACCTGCAACAGCTCAGGCTCTTTTGTTATTCTTTCAGAAACACTGGAAAATACTAGCAGTCCTTCAGCAATAGCATCTTTGTCATTTCACAACAACCCTCTGAAGTCGGCTTATGCAAATGAAGCTCATAACAGAAGCTTGGAGGAAGGACAAGCCCCAGTTCCTGACCAGCAAGAGCTCTGCAGCATAAAAACAGATCTCCAGCCCCGTTTTATTCAGCGGTTGTTGCATTAACAACTCCACTGCCAAAGCAGTGTCCCTGTCCCTTGTCCACCAACTATGTGAATACATCAATAAAGATGGCTTCCAGTATCTCACTGAGGCTTGTCTGTATCTTCTGAACAATGCCCAATTATCACCTAGGTCTAATCGATTTCTACGTGCTGTTTACAGAAGTACTAAGCCACAGAAAAAAAAATCAACTACTCTGTAAAGGACAGATTTTAATTAAACTCCAGTGTTTTTTTAAAAACACTTACACGGGTCTAAACCACCTTTCTTACATCATAGCTTTAAGAATTACACATATTCCATTTTCAGATTATCTTACACTGGAGCCTAATCATTTTAAGGCAAAAGACCATAAAATAAAAATAAAACAGGCATAAAATTCTGTGTAAATGAACAATTTGACTTTTTTAAACTGTGAAGGGCTTAAAAGAGATAAACAATTGACATCCTGATTGTAATTAAATTAAATGTATTCACATGCCGGTCCTCACCCCTGTACAAATGGGTTTTGACAAGTAAATGTATTATCTGTGGCTATCCGCAGAGGATTAGCTGTTGAACTTGGGAACTTATTACTGAAGCCTTAAAAACAAGCATGGAAACAGAAGCAGGCAGCGAGGGCTTTAAAAGACTTGTACAATGAGTCTGGGGCTTGCCTGGCTCTGTACAGAATATGGGGAAAGAAGGCAAATAAAAAAAACCTGTAACATTTAAAAGTTGCTTGGGTGTGGTCTTTTTCTCAAAAAGTACACTACAAATTAAATGGAACAAAACCAGGCTAGAAATGCCTGCGCTTCCTTCAGGGACAACTGGTCTTACATGTAACATGCCAGGCAATTGCCTCCAACACAAATTAAATACAGCATCGATCATCTGGCCTACAAATGAACTTAGCCCCTAGTATATTTGCACAGTGCTTTGCCCTGCATTGTGTTTTTAAAAAAAAGGCTTCAGTCCCACTACCAGCATAAATCAATGATTTTACAAGACTCACTTTGTGAACAAATGTGGCTGGACTACATTTTAATCAGCTTCCAATTCAGGGCTGAAAGGTATCAAATCATCAGAGGAACGGCCATTTTAAGATATACAGGCTCTAAAGATTAAGCTTCTCCGTCATTATGAGTAAATGTGTGAAGCTAGTTTTTCTTGAATTGTACACAAACGATCTAAATAGGAGCAACTTCCTTAGACTTTTGCTTGGGCTGCGGCAAAGATCACAATGTCCTTATTAGAACATGTAAATGCCCTGTACCGAAATATGAGCAAGAACAACAATAAATTTAAACCTCACTGCTAAATTGTCCAGAAAAACACATCACACTGTATCACTACCTATAGAATTGGACAGGAACAAAATTCGTGGTATATTGTAGGTAGTAGTGATCTGATACATTTCCATCCATTCATGAATAAAAAAAATTGGAGTGCCATCTGTATTACTTTCTTTGCAACGCAGCCCTTAATGGGAATCAGCATTTCTTTAAAAGAGCAAAGCTGGAACAAAACTGTAAGAGCACTGTAACCTCCTAGGACTGGAGCTAATTACTATCATTCTATACACTCTCCATCTAGGGCTCATAACCTTTTTTTTTTGCAGAAAGGGCATTTATACTTACACCTAATACCTTAACATTTCTAAGGCTTTTCCAAAGCAGACTGACAGATGGATAGCTGTAATGCACAGTGCAATCATCAATCCACAGAATCTCATGTTCCCCTATTATACTACAAATACTCATTCTAAAAATACACCTGGCATTTCTTTCAACATCAACATTGGTTTTTTGAAGTAAAAAGCAAATGTAAATACTGCCCATCAAAATAAATGGTCTCTTCTAAAGAACCTATTTAGCATATGTTTTTGTGAAAACACGCTCAGCTAGTTCTTCAGTAGGGTAATTGAACACTGATAAGAGGCATATTTTTAAAACAAATATTTTTTTTTATTTGCTTATTCTAGATGCAGAGCTGTAACGTATACTGTAACCAAAGAAGCCCTAAAAAAATAGGCTTTCACTCCATAAGTATCACAAGCATCACAAAAGTGCAATTAACAAGTAACATTTATTTACATACCAGCTCCACCCTTTGAAATGCATTTTTCGGAAATAAACGCATGATCTCGGGCAGTAGATTTACCTATTGTGCTTGGGACTCTCTCCTGTAACCTATGACTGAAGCTTTAAAAACAAGAGCTCACACAAAAGCAGGCAGCTGGGCTTTAAAGGCTGTACACGGAGTCTGAGGTCTGCATAAGTATTTATTAAATATAAGGCAAATAAAAAGCTGCATCATTTAATGATGACAAAGTTTCCTTAAATGGATTAGATTAATTTGTAATTTATAGGTGTCTGATAGCATGGTATGAGCTTGCATTAAGAACGTCTAAAGAAATCTATAAAGCTGAAACTACTCCAGATTCAATTCTGTACAGTGTAGGCATGTTTTAAAAGCTACTCGGAAATATATAGTGCCTAGAAATAAATATTCGAATAACCCTCGGGGAAAAAAAAAAAACACTTTTCCTGCTGGGTCTGGTTGCTGAGAGTCGACTGGAAGACTTGCCAATAAAATGACGTGTCACTTCAAAAGGTAACAGAACGATGATCAGTTTGTTGATTTGACATTCAATCAAACATTTGGATAGGCCTTTTCAACTCAAAGCATCAAGCTGAACTTGGCAGAAGCTCCTCAACACCCCCAAACAGATGGTCCCTGTGAATTCAACTCGGGTAACGTAGTACAGTATATCCGAGTTACAACTCCCTGTAGGAATAGAAGTTCTGTTCCCACAGGTCACAATCAAACATGTTTTCCTACATCTTAATTAAGAGAGTAAGGGGTTATTCTAGCTGACTGAATTAATATGTTAATGTAATGAAGACCTGTGATGGGCTGCCATCCTGCCCCGGGTGGATCCTGCACATCGCTTACCAGGATCGACTCTGGCTCTCCTGCGACCCTGTATTGGATAAAGCAGTTAGAAAATGGGTGGATGGATGGATGTAATGAAAACTTCAGGCAGAACAAAAAGCAGAAGACACTGGCCCTTGAACTCTGGCACTTCTAATAAAGAGGTGTGCCCTTCTTTTGTTTGGTGTTTAGCGTTCTGCTCCTTGCTGAAATGTGCTATTCTGAGAATAAATTCCTCGCTGTGAGCTCCGGACGACGTTACCAAGTCAGAAGCAGCTCACAGAGTTTCAGGCCCTCTGGTGGTGGGAAAGGACATTGCAACAGCAAAGCAGAAACGGAGGATTGCCTACAGTCAACAAAGGAATTCAGCCAACAAAAGCCCTATTTCTTAAGACACTTGCCCCTAGAATTTCTTGAATTGACAACTAGAAAAAGGATCCACAGATTACAGGCAGGCACAGGGTTCATTAGAAACAGCAGAAGATTGGGGGGGGGACTTCAAACTACAAAGTTCCAATAAATTAAAAAAGTCCACAAAAGGACAGATCCTGCTGTATTTTTTCAAAACTGAATAAAACATACATGGGAACAGATCTTTACAAACCAATATTTATAGGGTTTTTTTCCCATTTGATAGGAGTTCAAATTTGCTCACCAAACCACATCTGAAGTGCCCTATACCCATTGACTATGGATTTGGGATCTTCCAGCCCTATCTGCCTTCTGAAACACTACACACTGCTTCAGCTACAGTAAGGAATGTATTAGACACCCACAACTTACTGTTCATTAAGGTTTTCATGCACAGTAAAACAAAAACTGAAAAAAAAACAACCCACAAATAAAATTGTATGTAGGTTTTGGATGATAATCCAAGTCCCCCAAAATAATTTGTAATAAATTCCAACTAGCATTATCGGTGATAGAACTCAGGTCAGCAGCAAGAACAGAAGTAAAGGAAGAGTTGCAATGAAGCTGTCCAAGAATTACTGATGGGAGTGAGTATCAGTACACTACTGCAATTTGGTTTTCATCGTTTAATGCAATATGTGCTTTCATAATTAAGATTTAGCAGTACATCAATGATTGCAGAGGCTATACAGCAGATGTCCACAACCTGATCTATTTTGACAGTGACTGCCTTTTTGTACAGAGCAACCCTGGTTTTCTTCTGAAAGCCGACATTAGTACTAGAAGCCATACTCTGGTGGGGCAGGCAGCCCAGAATGCAGGTCACTCTGTCTCTCGGATGTGCTGCGAACACTCAATTAACATGTACGAAAACGCAGAGAGGATAAATGCTTTCCAAGAGAAACAGAGAGTGCAGAATGATTATTCTTCAAGGAAAAAAAAAAAGCTAACACCTGGTATTCATCATAAAAAACCCCGATAAAAATCAGGCATTCCACAAAAAAGCATCTAGAAGTCATAATGTACGTTTTCAACATTTATATTGCAATCTTGAGCTTAAATGCAAGAGACATGGTTTATTTGTTTACCCATTAATTTGTCAGAGACATTCCTGACTTTAAAAAGCTCATTTGGCCAGCTAGCTCAGATATACAGTTTCAATACTTGGTTATTACAGCACAGCCAAGATAATTGTACCAATGCGGAGCTGAACAATAATTTTAAAAAAAAGTTATCCGTCCTCTCAAAAAAACAACAACAACTGGTCTGATAACTAGCAGGTAATGCTCAAGAATGTTTTTTCCCCATTTTAGAGTTAATATTATCCACTTCTCTAGAAGAAAAATGATGTGCACCACTTAGAAACATAGAAACAACTATAGCATTACTGTAAATAATTCTCACTTGTATAAATTACCACTTTACAAAGTCATAGTTCATGCGCAGCTGCCTTCTACTGACCATATATACCTCTAAAACATATCTGATTATCTGTAGAACTTTGAGCTCTTTGTAGCAGTTGAAGAAACTCAATCATAATGTATTAAACCACCAAGGAGCAAAGTCAAGTTTATGAAATGTGATCATTTTAGGAGGTAACGTTTTAATTAACATCTTGACACCTGCTTTAAGCGACTTCATACTACTGAAATTGCAAAACCCACCAAAATCCATTGTCTCAGCCAGAATATATGGAAATACTCAGAATTTAAAATTTATTCCATTTCTGCTCCCATTGCCGACTCTCAAAACATCACCTCACTCACTCTTACGCCAAATCCTTGCTGAGACAGGATCCTGACAGGCAGGTTACTCTCCAGGATAATCTAACTGGGTAAAAAAAAAACATCAAGATGTTCAGCAAATGTTGAATCGCTGTCCCAAGGGGAGATTTGGTCCCTGATTGTTAATTGCCATGAGATCTCTTTGAAAAAAACCTCCTAAAGAAAAAGTTTTTGAGAGGATATTGTAACTTCCTTCCCATTGACAAGGCAAAATGTGTTGCAAGTACACTCGGAGTCTGGCCAGCATTAGAGGCTTAGACATACAGTAAGCTAATTGGTGCACTGCACCCAAAAATATTGGCAGTATAGGTGCTTTAAGACAAGAAATCCCAATTCTCATTCCCTAGCACAAAAGGCTACAAGTTACTAAGGAACAGCAAGGCCAAAGTGAGCAATTAAAGACAAGAATAGCTATATACATACAGGAATAGTCACATTTGGAAACAGGGACATAGCTGGGAAGTAGCTGTTCTATCCAATCATGGACCTAGCCTGCAGAGGTGGGAGTCGGTGATGGTTTATGCAGGCTCCAAATGGCAGTTTTTACAAAAACAATCCGATTGGAGCCATGCTCATTCCAGTTGTACAGTGATCACATTGTTAAAGGTTCTCAACCATTTTGGTGCAATATGCAAAACAAAAAAGGGCTCTTTCAGATTTTGCATTCGATGAGTTCCACGTCTGAGCACTTTCTGGAAAACAAACAACTGAAACGGAGAGTGAAAAAAGCTCATCAGCACATCTACAAGATCAGCCTTTCACAGCAAGCGTACGGCTCTCCAATTAGTCACCTGCGCAGGATGCAGAGAATTAAAAAAAAATGCACTCCATTTCAATCATAAAGCCAGTCTTGCAGCACTCAAGTCTCCCTGCGAATACGTAGGTACATCTTCCAGAAGAATGCGTTATTTTTACATACACTTTTGTGATCAATACGGGCTACACCTTTCTCCCTGCATTTGTAAAACTAAACTCTAACAAAAAAAAATTATTGTTTTCATATTAAATAAAATAGAAAAGTTAAAACTATTGCCCCACGTCTTGCACCCTTTCCCAAGCTTCTCACATTACATCAAGTCCGTAAAGAAGTCCATGCAGTACCAATATATTGCAACAAAAGTCATATTTGTTGTCGTGTTTTAGAATTGCTTTACAATACAAGCGGCACAAAGACATCATGGAAAAGCTGACAGGTGGTTTGGTCTATGGAGTATCTGTGAAACACAGGGATATTATCTGCGCCATCCTGGGGGTAATTGATTCAGAAGTCCCGTTGGTCTTGCCAGTCTACCAGTCTCCGGTGAGTTTGGTGCTTTGGTCCCGTTTCGGGGGCGCGGGGGGTGGTCCCCGCCGTAACGTTGCATAGCCTGAGATGTTGCCCGACATGTAAGAGCCCTGCTTCTGCTGGTCGAGGAGCAGCTCTGGAGGAGGGGGAGGGAGAGCCATATCGTCCATCGTGGCAGCGGGCTCCAACTTGGACATTCGCGCGGACGAGAGGGAGCTGTGCCTTGTGATCGACTTCCTCTGCAGGGTCCGGTTAAGGTCGGCCAGAAAATTGGGCTGGACGCTCAGGTTTCCTTTGGGCGAGGTGGGAGCCTGCGAGCCGGGAGGAGGAGCCTGCTGATGGGGGGGAGGGGTGGTGGGCGGCTCGGGGACATCCCCTTGGGTCAGGCGGGTGCTGTCGTTGCGCTTGGGTAACGTGGGCGGGGGCGTCTTCTTCAGCGAGGCCTTGTTCCAGGCCTGGGGCTGAGGGTTGACCACAGCCACCTTGGGGGTCCCGCTTGGAGGGTCAGCGGGGGGAGGCGGGAGGAGCTCAGAATCCGGAGGCGGAGGGGGGAAGTAGTCGTAATCGGAAGGAGGGGAGGGGAAGTCGGATGTGGGCTCCTTGGCAGGTCCACCCTTGCCCTGCGGAAACATGGGCAGGTTGGAGAGATTCAGCTTTCCCGGCTTAGGGGGAGCCGGGGGTCCAGCGGACAAGTCCTTGGAAGGAGATCCCGAAGAGGAAGGCGAGGGCGATTCGGAAGGCTGACCGAATTTGCTAACCAGGTTCTCGACTTTCTTGGACTCGTGGTACTCGGCTGAAGAGTTGGACTTGATGCTGGAGTTGCGCTGGGGCGTCGGTGGAGGCTTCTTGCCACTAGGGCTAGACGTCTTGGAAGATTTCTTGACCGGAGACCCGGATTTTGCCTGAGGGGGGAGGGGAGGGGGAGCCGGAGTTGGCATGGGAGGGGGCGGAGGTGGGGGTGGGAAGGCCAGACTGCTTTCCGGTGGCGGAGGAGGAAAGTCAGGAGATTGGGTGGGCTGAGTCGGCCCACTGGGTTGCCACTTGGGCTTGGCCTTGACCGCGGGTGGAGATGGAGGGGGCGGTGCTTTAGGCTCGGGCTGCAGCACGCCTGAGGGTGGGGAACCTGGGAACTGGTTTGCAATCTGCTTAACTAAGGAAGGGGTTGGAGAGATAGGGGTGGACATGGGAGGCGCCTTAGAAGAGAAGCTGTGCTGCTTTGGAAGGGTGGGTGGAGGCTGGCTTTGGGGATGAGCGGCGGAGAAGCTCTGTTGCTTCTTTATCGGAGGGGCAGGGGGAGGGGCCGGGGCGGGCAGCTGAGGGGCGACGGGGGACACCGGGGAAGTCGGCAGGGTCACCCCTGGGCCGGGAGGTTTGGGGGCGGTTTGCGGGGGGAATCCCCCAAAGAAGGGT